CTGTGGCTTGTAACAACCACTGCTGCAGCAGATGCTGAGGTGTTCATTAAAGGCAATGTGAAGTAGTGAAGCATGTTGGCATTAGTGCAAACAGAAGTAAAGTCTGAAGCCCAGTAAATGTTAAACTCGTGAGCAGATACTTTCTCTTCAGCGCCCTTTCACACATTCAGCATGACCCCACCAACCTAACAGCTTTAGGAGAAACACCTCTTTTCGTCCCTGAGAAGGAGCTCCTATTACAGGAAGTGAATTTCAGACATAAGTGGCTTGCCTTTTTTTTTTTTTTTACTAAACCTGCTTTGCTGCCAGTGACTAAGGATAGCCAAGATTTAGGTTAATGGTTAACAGACCAGCTATAACCACACAGAAACACTGACTTCCTGCTGGGGCTGGGACCAAAAGCAAAAACTCTCTTTTTTTTCAGAGAAGAGGCAAGCATTGTAAGGAGAGCAGTTCACACCGTGAAGAGCTGGAGAACTGTAGCTTCACTTAGTAGAGAAAAGAGGAGGAAAATCCAAAAGGAGCAAGAGGCATTTGCCATAAAGATAGGTAAGAGCTGAAACACTTTCCCACTTGGCTTATTGACTCGGGGGCTGTTGCTAACAAAACCCACAGGTGTGGCTAGTTGAAACGCCTTCATTGTACCTGACTGCTCTGACCTGTGTGTCTTGGTGAGAGGGGCAAAGCAAGAAAGGATCTATTTCCTGCAAATTTGAACATTAGAGAGGGCAGGAAGGCTCTTCCTTGCTCATTCTCCCCTCAGGGGCTGCTCATGGCAGTACAGACATTCCCATCGGACTGTTCTGATCTCATTGACCACAGCCACATTGCTGAGTTTGAGGTATCTCTTTGGATCAAGATCACTTTGGGCTTAGGGTACATCTGCCTATTTGTTGCGGGCATCTTGGGCAACAGCATCACCATCAAGGTCACCAGAATTCTGCAGAAGAAAGGCTACCTGCAGAAGGAGGTCACGGACCACATGGTGAGCCTGGCCTGCTCTGACCTGCTGGTCATCCTGCTGGGCATGCCCATGGAGTTCTTCAGTGCCATCTGGAGCCCCTTTTCCACCCCCAGCGGCAATATAGCTTGCAAGCTCTACTACTTCCTCTTTGAAACCTGCAGTTACGCCACTGTGCTGCATGTTGCCACCCTCAGCTTTGAGAGGTATGTGGCTATCTGCCACCCCTTCAAGTTCAAGGCTGTCTCTGGACCCCGCACGGTAAAGCTGCTCATCGCCTTTGTCTGGGGGACATCTGTTATAGTGGCTCTGCCCCTGCTCTTTGCCATGGGCACAGAATATCCCCTGGAAAGTGTTGAGGGCTACCAAGGTATGACTGACTGCACTGAGTCTACGTCCAAGCACCATCTCCCTGAGCTGAAGCACAATGTGACCATCTGTACCAACCTCTCCTCCAAGTGGTCTCTATTTCAGGCCAGCATCTTCAGCGCCTTTGCTGTCTACATCATAGTGCTGGGATCTGTCACCTTCATGTGCCGCAGCATGATGAAAACGCTGATGATCCACAAGGAAGGAACTCTGGCAGTGAAGGGTGGACTTGGGCACCAGGAGCAGCGTCTAAGAAAAAGTGAAAGCTCGGAGGGCAAGAGCTCCAGGAGACAGACCATTTTATTCCTAGGTAAGAGCTCTGTCTTATTCTGCTTCCCCTCTTCTGCCCCCTTTCCCCTTTTTTCTGGGAAAAACCCAGAAGCTTCCATTTTATCTCACCAAGTTCCCTCAAATAAGGGATGTATGGTTTGAAACTGGAGCAAAATGAAGGAGAGGGATACTTTTGGTTGCTATGATATATTGTAAGAAAATAGCATGTTTTTGTTGTTAGAACTGGTGGGAGAAAAGAAGAAAGAAAAGTCCATTTACTGTCTGCTATTTATGTTGTTTGGTTATACTGCATGTCTATATGCAGCAATATGGGTAACAGGGTGTTGCTGCTTGACCTTTCAGGTAGCAATAGGCAACGGTTGCCTGGATATAAAGAAGCTCTACTTGCATGTTTTCCCATTAAATTACAAATATGTACGTATTTAGTTAGGGTCTTGATGGGAGGAAAGATTGTCTTGCAAGATCTGAAGCTTGTCCCACTCCAAAAGCATGTCCCTGTTAATTCGGGAAGCTCCTTGGAGGGTACTTATTTAGCCTCAGCAGTTGTGGCCATGTTACATCTGAAAATTAAGCAAGCTGGGCTGGAGAGTTGATTTGGTCTTGCATATTGCTGTTACCCTCTTGGAATTCTTTTCATGGTTTTATTTGAAGGCCTATATAACCTTGGAAGTATGCTTGATTCTGATCTCTCTCGCCACATTTGTCAGACAAAACTAATCAAGCTGTCATTTCACTAGCTTGGAATCTTTCCGGGCTGTGATCCATGTAGGCTCCACATTTGTTGATGCTCTTACAGGCATCCTTAATCATGCCCTTGCTGAATTACTGCTCAGTGCTTGTTTTGTTGGGTTGTTTAATATGATACTGGATATAATAAATGAACCATTTAGAGCATGAATGCACAGTCGACCTAGTATTCCAGGTTGCTTTTTGGTGCTCTGCTTGATAGTGCAGAGAGGGAACTGAAACTCATGGGTCTGTCCACTTCTACAGCTTTAAGTAGATTAGCTTTTTATTGCTTTTTTTTTTTACGAGCTTTCTTTGCTTCCTCACCTAGTCCTGCTTTTGCAGGAGATGATTTCTTCATTAGATGCACACTCTGAGCATGAGGAAGAGCATCTAATGAAGAAATCATCTCCTCACACAAGGCACCTGTTAGTCTGGGACAAGAGGCCCCGTATCTGCATGATTAAAAGGGTGATCCTTCCTCCACTGACAGCACTGATTTCTGGGGTAGAGGCTTAGCAGCTAATGCTAAATATGGCATGTGGCACAAGGCAGAGAAAGAGATATGGCTCTGCTCTTTAAGTGCTGTTGTGGGATCCTTACATGTCTGTGGATCTCTCTTCCCTTGTAAATGATCCACAGCTACATTAAAGCCTGGTCTAAGATCCAAATCCTGTAGCAAGTTTTAGCTAGGTTGAGCAGTGAAGGTAAATTGCTGTGGCTTTTCTTCCCATCCTTGTTATTGTTCTTGCTTGGTGATGGTCTAGCAAGGAATAGGGCAGACCTAGTGCTGCTTGCAGATGTGTTAAAAAGATAAATGGAAGTGATTGGTTTGTCCTTTATCTTAAGAGAATTTGCTGCCAGTATCTGATGTTCTCTGTGCTCTCAGCTTTCTGATGCTTCCGTGAATTCCCCAAAATTATTCCGGTGGCAAGACTCTTAACAGGAGTCATGCTAATTTAGTTGGGTTAGGAAATAAATTAATAAACTGAAGAGGAAGAAACAATGGCTTGCATCCCTGAGAACAATGCAAAGCAATTTAATTTGGAGATTTCATAAGAGTGATGCTTTAGGGCAGTTTTAACCCAGAAGAAATGAACATATAAATTGTTTACAAATTGCTGAATTTAAATATAGTGATTTAGAAATCCTCTTTGTTTTTCATTTAACAGATGGGTCAAATTAAAACAAATACTTGTGCATTCCCCACATATTTCACTTTTAATGTGAAATGTAAATGACAGTATATAGCATGATGTCTCCAAACATCTAACAGCAATAAAAACAATGTAGCTTTTTCTTCTTCTAGTTGTTAAAAGTGATAAGTTCTATAAAACAGAGATTAAATTCATAAATCTTCTGACGATGAGAAGAAGCTAAGTAGGAGACACAAGAAGGAACTGATGCTTTTTTAGTGTCATGTTATTGTGTGCACTTGAGAAAATGCATAACAATGAATTGTAAATGCTGAAAATGAAAGACTCCTTGCCGTAGGTAGTGTTGACACTTGCAGGATGGGCTCCAGATAGGGTGACACCACTGCTGTGATGGAGGAGGAAGGTGACAAGGGGCCAAGCAAGGAGAGCACCAGAGTGATCAGAGGGTTACCTAAATGGTCGTGATGTACTGCTGGGGACCTCTTGCAGCTCCAGCATGTGAGCTCAGGCCCCTGCTACCATAGCAGTGAGCTCTTAAGAAGGCGTGAGTTTGGAGACTTATATGTATTATTATATATATTCTGAGTTACAGCAAACAGAAAAGGAGAATGTAATGGGAGGATCCTGTGAAGGTGAGATCCAGCTAATGCAATAATTATGAATAATTATAAAGAAGGCACTTTCGTAGCTGAAACTATGTAAGTCAAAAATCTGTAGGCAATGATAACAGGTGGCCTGCTCACTGGGAAAGGGCAGTGGTATGGGACAAGTCTCCACCTAAGCTGCTGGTTGAGTGGGCTTTGGCACCAGTGGCTTCACGCCCATTTGCTGGCCATGGCTACATCCTTCTTAATCTGGTCAATAATATAAAGCCCCATTTACACAAAAGCAGCTGTACTGTGATGATGATTCATTGACCTGAATTTGTACTTCAAAATGAAGTGAGTTTTGACTATCCCAGATGAAAAATTTATTGCTTCTAAAGCTTCTGTGATACTTCCATTGGAAGCTTCAGTTTTGTGCTTCTGCTAAAAGCCTTAATTATTTTGTATAAAACAGACTCAAGCCTACCACAGTAGATACATCGAAATAAAAAAATCCTTTAGCCTTGCTATATCCTCTGCTTTTTTTTGTATACACTTCCAATTTGCCCTTTGGAGCAATACTCTTCTGTTTGCAGAGCAGAGGTTTCACACTGTGTGGGACATCGTGGGTGCTTTGCCGTTTGCCAGCTAGCACCTGGGCAGAGCTTTTCTGTCTCCTGACCATGATGAAAGGTCCATCCATCCTGAGCTCTTCCTTCCAGAAAAGAGAATTATCAAAGTAATCTGGCTGCTATGAAAGTGTTGAGGTAGATGCATTAAAGCACTGGTGTAACTGCAGCAGTTGGCAAGAACCAGAGCTGCAGCTGGACCCACATAACTGCAGACCCTGCTGCTACCAGCCTGGCTCCACCAGCTCACCCATGCCAAGCAGGGGAGATAATTCTCTCTGCCATCTCTTTCCCATCACTACAGAAGTGCAGCTTTTCTGCTTTGGGATATTCTGATGCAGGATGAATTTTACCTACATGTCTGGACAGCAAATATCCTACAGCTTCCTTAATGAGCAAGGAAGGGAATTGCTTATCATAATTGGCAGCGCCTCCATCTGAGAAAGGCAGAGTGGCGGTGGTTTATTTTTTGTATTTTCCTTTGGTCTAGCACTTAAGTATGTCAAATACACTGAATGTCAATGTGAAGACAGTAGTAGTGGTGGTTTCATGTGGTGTGGTATGGTACAGATAGCTTCAGATCTGGTCTGCTTTATAGAACAATAGCAGCTGGAGGCTTTCTTGAGACTCTGGTAAGTGCTGTAGAAGGAAAGAGAGTCCATGTCTTTAAATCCAAATAAAATAGGCAGAAGAGGAGGGCTTAAAAAACTAGACAGAAAGAAGTTAGTGACCTGGCCAAGGCCACAAATGCTATGGAGAATCACGAATGCATCTGCTGGACCTGTGCTAGTGCCCTGTCTGCTGGGCTGCCTGGCCCCTCTCCTGTCATTTTTTTGGTGGTGACTGTTAGAAAGATGCCAAGCTACTCTACAGCAATACCAAATGCCACCATAAACACTATGGACACAGCTGTACCTGACTATAAGCTAAATCTAGATAAAGCTGTAAGTCAGCAATTAAAAAGACCTCTTAAAACTTAAGCTGGCGCACCATTTTTTCCCCATATACTAGTGCTGGCAGATTAATATTTTGCTCAGAATAGAGGTATTGTGTGTAGAAATAGCCTTTCCAAAGATCACTAAGGAAATGTATTTCGTAAGGCATTTGGCAAATGGGTTTTCAGGAGGCAGATTACTTAAAGTAGTTGTGAAAAATACGTGGTTGTCATCTAGAGATGACTCATGCGCAGTATAACTTGACAGTGGTAGGACTTCTGTTACAGGAAAATTAGATGCTTCTTCACAGGCTGGAAATTGGTTGGGGTTTTTTCCTTACTGAAAATGGTAAAGCTTGGGAATAGAACAAAAATTGAAAGAATAACCTAATTGATTAGATTCCAGAACACAGCTCCAGCCCATGTTCTTTAAGCTCGGCTTCATTGACTCCTCTTGGTTCATTTCTTCAATCATTCCACTCAGCTGCCTTTCTGCAGAGACTTTGTTGGAGAGGTGCCTGAAGATAAATATGTGGGGGTTTTTTTATGGTGTCTCCATCCATGTATTTCACTGAGCAGGGCTTCGAATTACACAAGACAAGTGGGAGACTGACAGCACTGAAATGGGTTGCAGGGGCTGAGCAGGGAACCTGAAACACTTAGACAAACAGACCGAGGTCTGGCCATTCAACTGAATGGGACTCCCACCCTCTGTCACTAGTAAGATTTTTCTTTTAAGTGCTGCTTTCTGGAAAAAAGATAAAAGCAAAGGATTTACCTACTCGTGTTCAGTAAATTTTGCTTTCCTCTTCTCTGCAAAAGTATTAACCTGGTCTCAGTGGTAAAACTGATCAACGCTGATGAATGCTGGCAGCACAAAACCGAAGCTCAGTTATTCAACAGATGACAGTGGAAAGGCTGCATTCAAGGATCATGACTTCTTGGGGCAATTGGGTACAACCAACCTCCTCTGAAGACCTGTGGGACTT